AAGTCTCAAGTGTCTTAGGTGACAGTTGTAGGAAAGATGATTGTGCTTCCCATCAGAAACCTTCAAAGAGAGGAGGTGTTTAACATAAGGATTTTTCTTTTCTGGATTGAAGAGGACAAAATTTTCATCCAAATGAAAAAGACGTCGGTCATAACGAATGATCATTGCACGTGGCACCCGTTCTGAAGAAGAAGGAGACGGAGCACTTGAACTTATGAAATCAAACAGCTGTTCCTCTCTAGCTTTTATTAAACAAAAATCATGCACAAGATCATGAATTCGGCAACTCGATGCCCTACCTCTCTCACTGGAAACTATTACCAAGCCACTGCAAACTAACTCATCCAAATGAACCTCCACTACTTCTTCCACACTCTTCATCTCAATCTGTTCCAATAGTCCTTCAGCACTCCATAAATCTTTCAATTCAGATATTTCAATATATTCATCCTTTGGATAGCATCAAGGTAAAGCAGGCACGGCTTTAAGTGATCTGATAAATGGTCATAACTAAATTGTAAAACCTCCATGAATTCAAAATCATCTAATAAAAAGGAATTCAAACTGTTTAGAACTTCACACCAAAAAGCCTTACTCTTTTCTTTCGTTGCAATGACTCCACCAATCAGATGAAGTACCAACGGAAGCCCTTTACATTTTTTGGTTATTTCATATCCAACATCCAATAGTTCATCAGGGCAAATTTCTTCTCCGAATACCTTTCTCTGTAATAATTCCCAACTTTCTTCTAGATTTAGCAATCGAAGATGAAAAGGATCACTGCAGCGTTTTCCATGCAAAGCCACATTCATTATTCGACTTGTTATAATAACTCTGCTTCCATTCATAAATTCAGGAAAATGTCTTGTTAAATCATCCCAAGCTGTAGTATCCCACAAGTCATCCAAGACAATTAGGTACCTCCTTCTATATAGCTCTCTTTGGAGCTTATCACCAACAACAAAATCCTCACTGAATTTTGCATCTGAACCAATCACTTGATTATAAATTTTCTGCAAAATCTTATTCATGTCATACTCTTGGTCGACTGTGCACCACGCACGAACATCGAAATGATTAGCAATAGACTTATTATTATATACTCTGTAAGCCAAAGTAGTTTTTCCAAGTCCTGGCATGCCAATGATCGAAATGACATCTAGCGTTGCTGGTCCACTAGTGAGCTTCCTTATTATCCAATTTGTCTCCTCCTCAAACCCAATCTGAACTAGCTTGTTGGGAGAGTTTACGACAATAAGACCCTTGTTCTTTTGGATCTTCTTTGATACCTCTTCTTTGATAAGCTTGATCTTTTCTATGTTACCCGGAAGTGAGAAGATAAGTTGCAAGAGACCGTGATCTCTGACAATAATTGAATTAATGGCATGTTCTGCCTCATATGCAACATCTAGAATACGAGTCCAGAGATCTCTGTTCAATTCTTGCTCAACATTCGTGAAGAACGGTCTTGTGAATTCTAGGTCTTCTTTCAGCAGTCCAATTTCTTTCTTTAGTAAAACAACCGAATATGCATTGGAATTGAGCAAGTCATTTAAGCTTTTGAGTAGAAGAGTCAT